ATGTGTCTATATATAATGGACACATCAAAACAGTGTAGAATTGGCATGAGGACAGATATACAGGCCAGCTGAACAGAAAAACACTCACCTACACCATCAACTGACTTTTTTTTGTTTGTACCAGGGATTGAATTCAGGTCCTTGAGCTTGTGAGACAGGCAGCGGCACCACTAAGCTAAATCCCCAGCCCTCATCTGACTTTTAACAAGAATGCCAAGATAGTTCAATTAAGAACACGCTCAAATTAAAAAAAAATAAAAACATAAGAAAAAAAGAACACTCTCTTTAAGAAATGGCTCTGAGTAAGTTGGTGGCTACACATAACAATGAACTGATCCTTAACCTTATACCACATAGAAAAGTTAATTCAAATTGGATCTAAGATTTCAACTTAAGAGCTAAAACTATAAGGGAACAGTTTCGTGACTGTGGCTTTGGCAATGGTTTATTAAATATGATACCAAAAGACATTATCAAAAAAGTGAAAAGATTAGCTACAGAATTGGAGGAAATACCCACAAACATTAGAGTTTAGAATTCAGAATATAAAGGAAGTTTTACAATTTAACACTTAAAGACAAACCACAAAATTTAAAAATGAACAAAAAACTGACATTTCTCCAAAAACATACAAATAGCCAAATACACAAAAGATATCATTAGAGAAATGTACAGTAAATCAAACCCACAAGATAGTATTTCACGATCTTTAAAACGGCCTAACCTAAATAAAAACAGAAAGTACCACTTTTCTTGTAATTGACCAAAAATAAAACCAAGTCACATATTCTTTTCACATGCACATGAAACATTTACAAAATATGACCACAGAACTTCAAACAAGCCTCAGCAAATTTCAAACTATAATGATTCAAGGTATGTTTTCTGATGACAATGTAATTAAAGTAAAAATCAACAACAAAAATGGCAATCTTGGGCCGGGGATTTAGCTCAGTGGTTCTACCACCTGCTTCACAAGCATAAGGTCTGGAGTTCAATCCCCTGTACCAAAAAAAAAAAAAAAAAAAAAAAATTAAAATCCCTAAATGTTTGGAAAAAAGCCACACCTTATTGAGGAATTTATGAGAAACCCAAATGGAAATTACAAAAGAATCTTGAACTTAAGGACAATAAAAATAAATCACATCAAAACTTTAGGGATGCAGTAAAAATTTCAACAGCCTTAACACATACAGCTGTAACATATAACTGAGAGATCATGCTCAGCCTATCAATCTACAGATGAGTTTTACTTCTGTCCTAAGCTCACTTCATATATGTGTTTTGGATAGGTCTATTCCTAGTTCTGGCTTTAAGTTTCAATTTTGACACCAGTTTCCCTAGGAAACCTACCTTCAAAGCCTGCTGCCTTCCATGCAGTGATTCCACCATTACCCCAACACTTCTCTCAACAGCAGAGATCAAGTCTCTGTTTCAACTTTGAACCCCCAGGCCTACAACAATTTCCACCTATTACAGTAAGTGCTCAAAAACAGCTGTAATCCTGGCAATTGGAGAGTTGTCCAACTTGCACAATATAGGGAGACACTGTCTTAAAAAATTTTTGTAAGGAAAATTTTAAAAAGCTGGTGATATAGTCCAGTGTAAAGACCCTGGATTCAATCTCCAGTACGGAGGGAAAAAAAAGAAAAAAGAAAAAAAAAAAAAAGGTCCTCGAACAAATGAATTCACCCAAAGAGCTTTGCACTTATTAAGGCAGAACAATAAAATACACAAATTGTCACAAATGCAGATCCATATCCCAACTCCAACACTTACTGGTTAGGTGGACCTTCCAAATCACTTAGCTTCTCTCAACTCCTCTTCTGCTATCTGTGGAAATCCCTACATACATTGCTGGTTTTCTAAAGAATAAAATTATAATGGGGTGACAAAATCATTTCAGATTATGAGACTCATTATTCAGAGTAACTAATATGGTAATAGTCCTCAAACATTTTGGTCTCAGGACCCATTTACATTCTCAAATATTACTTAAGCCCAAAATGACCTTCAGTTGATACAGGTTTTATCCAGTAATATTTTCCCTCTTAGAAGTTTGAGCAACTTTTAAAATATCTATTCATTTAAAATAGGTCTATTCCACTTTAACATGCATACATATTTTTATGAAAAAATAACAGTAAGAAGAGTCTCCCCAGCCCCAGCCCTCATTACTGAGGGATTGAACCCAGGGACTCTCTACCACGGAGATACTCCTTCAACCCTTTATTTTCTAGTTTCAGACAGGATCTCACTAAATAATTGACTATTGAACCACTGTGGAAGAGAATGACTGGTACAAAGCAGGACAAGTTACTTTTGGAGAAATCTGAGGACTGCAGAAGTTGCAGCACTTAGGGCTTCAGCAGGACAAAAGGAGGTGATGTGACAGGACAAGGTCAAAGGCCTCGAATGAAAAATGTGGCATTATGAGCAACATCAAAGAATGCATACTGGAGCACACAAGAGTGACAATGGCAAGTTCATTGAGGGTCCTGCACAGGTATGGGGCCTGTGTGATTGATAAGGATCCTGTGATGAGATTTATGTCAAAGGGAGGAGGAACCTATTCAACAGTTTTAATCAGGATGTGACTATCAGATTAAAGAGACCATCCAGGCAGAAAAGTGATGGATTTAAGGAAGACAAGACTAGTAGAGGGCAGGTGTGATGGTGTGTGCCTATAATCGCGGTACTTGGGAGGCTGAGGCAGGGGGATTGCAGCAAGTCTGAGGACAGCCTGGGCTACATGAGTTCAAGATCATCCTGAACTAGAGTGAGACCAAGTACCTCACCCCACAAGGGAGGGGGGGCATTTGGGAACACTTAAAAGACCCACCTTAAAGACTGAAGGATGGGGCAGACTCGAAACAAGGTTCTAAGAAGCTACAAGATTGTTATGAATTATTTAGATGAACTAAAATTATCCTTAGGTTTTGGGCTTGATAACTCAGGTAGGCAGTGATGCCATGTGGTAAGTAGGGGAGTACTGGGGCAGGAATAGGTTCCCAGTTTCAAGTCAATGTAATTTTTACATTCTCTTCTGTCTTCTTCTACACAGCTCGGTAATACTGCATTTGACATCGATCACTGCTGGCATATTAACCCAAAAAAAAAAAAATCAAACAGTAAAATAAGGTCAAAGTCAAAGCAGCAAGAGGCAAAAGGCTACCAGTCACTAGTGAAAATTCTGAGCAGTTATAATCCATTTAGAAATCAGCATTATCTGTCCTACTAGCCAGCCAGCACTGCTCCAAGCAATCCAGAAGAGTGACAGAAGTATGTAAACTCTTGCTGAAGTCATGTACACCTCCACGGCACTGCCCTCGTTTCCACATCTGTTAACTTCATCAAGTACAGTAGCAATATCTTTTCCTAAACTTGCATTGATACCTACCCATCACCTCCTTCTTTGTAAAGGCTTCTAAACTTAACATCGTCCTTTGTATTTCCAGACCTGACGTTATTCTGGCATCTGCATCTCTACTCCAGACTCCCAAGCTCATTACTGAGCTTTGGTGCACTTAATCCAAGGAAAGCCCAAAAATGAGTCACTAGCCAACACAGCCAGCTACAAGTATAAAGTCAAAAGGAAATGAAGACACTATCTAGCTCCCCTAAACAAATTCCTAGCCTGCATCTGCCTTCCAAGTAAGATTCTTTCCAAACCCTAAGAACCATCCTGACCACACAAACTGTCAGCGAGCACTCCAGCACCATGACGTACGGGTCTGAGCACTGACAGGTATTTCCCCAGGCCAGAAATGAAGCAATGTAATCACAGCACAGCTCTGTGCCTACCACATCACTCCATTCCACTTCCAAAAAGCACAGGATAAGTGGGTGTCTGTTTTCCCAATACAATAAAACCCCATCGTTCACACCAAACCGGGGGGGGGGGACTAAACCACCATTGTTGGGAAAGTGAGGGTATCTTTTTCATCATCACTTTGCCAGCTTTAAAACTGTATTTCCACCTCCTTGTACAACAAGTTATTTCATGAATTTGGCCAAGTACAACCAGGCACAAATGGCTGAGACAAACACTTCCTGGCGCCGTGTGCAGCAGAGTACCCAGCGGTCTTCCGAGCGCCGCCTCGGATAAAACTGGCGCCCCTTGAATGCTCGCCAGACACTCCAGAGGCTCGGCGGGGCAGCCTTCCGGGATAAGCCCGGTGCCTACTGTGCGCGCCCCGGCGCGGCGCAGAAGCTCGGGTCGGCCGGGCACAAATGGCTGAGACAAACACTTCCTGGCGCCGTGTGCAGCAGAGTACCCAGCGGTCTTCCGAGCGCCGCCTCGGATAAAACTGGCGCCCCTTGAATGCTCGCCAGACACTCCAGAGGCTCGGCGGGGCAGCCTTCCGGGATAAGCCCGGTGCCTACTGTGCGCGCCCCGGCGCGGCGCAGAAGCTCGGGTCGGCCGCGAGAG